GTGCGGTAAGTGTTGTTTGCGGTGACCTCTGGCGCTTTCAGAATGAAGAATGATGTCACTCAAGGTAAGGAAGAGGTATAAATCAAAATCGCTATTAAATCGATTTTTGTAGTATCATTGAATAAATTTATTCCGATTTATGCTGTTTTAGCCTCTTCAAGTTCTTAAGATGTTTTTGAATGACAGTTTAAGCACGCAAGAAAGAAAACAGTAAAGCAATCAGGAATGCGTCATACAGATAGCTTTAAAAATGAGTTAAGCGGGATTCCACGCAAATCTTATAAAAAATATGTACACTGCGAAAAAAAAGGGGGAACACTTCTAGTATATCTCTCGTTCTAGAAAAAAAATCTCGGCCATTTGACGAAATGCAAATTGCGTTTTTCATGTTTCGAAAGCGCGACTTAGGATATATATTAAATTTATATATAGCATTGTTCTAATACAGGTATTCTGACGCAAAATCGGACTTTTTCTGAAATGACATGCCCAATTTTTTTCCATATTTCGATTCTACGACTCACATTATGCCTGAATATTAAATTTTGTAACATTTGGTGCGAAATTTATGGAGAAATTCAAAAATTTACGTTGGCGCATTTTCTTCAGTTTACACCAAGAATAATTCTATTGGCGAACTTCTCAATTTATCGCAAACTATTTTCCTTTCCTTTTTACTTCCTTGTACGAAATAAAAAGGATAGAATTGTAATCGCGAAAAGTTTCAGGCAGCATATTTCAACTAAAATGTCCATTTTGACCACTATCGAATGCAATTTAACGATATTTTTGCGTGATATCTGTTCGTAAAGGCAGAGTAAAACCCTCGTTTCCTCCAAAAAAATTATAAAACGGCTTTAAAATGAATTCTGAAAAGAATTTTTCGTGGTGTCTGTACGTACGTATGTATCTCGCCTAACTCAAAAACGAGTAGCCTCAGAACGTTGAAATTTTGTATATAGAACTGCTATAACATGTAGATGTGCACCTAGTATTTTGGTTGCAATTGGCCTCACCAAACGTCTATAAATATACTTATATATATATCCACTTTGTTACCCGGCTCAGTGATCTCAGTTTCTTTACTCTTATATGTTTGTAAATTGTGCATTTTTTGCTTTAAAAATGATTGAATTAGGTTGTTGTTATCTTTCAGTTAAGGTTTTCATGCCTTTAGGAAATTTGCAAGCAATATTTGTAGAATTATCAACAATTTAAAAGCTGTTTAGGTGCGGTTAAGCCTAATTTTTAAATAGCATGGCAGAAATGTTTGTTTACATTTGAAACAGTAGAATAGTAGATTTATTGTCAATCTAGAGAAACTTAGCTTCGCAACAACAAAGATAACGCCTTCATTTATTATTGCGAATTAAATCATGCTTAATCCTTTCTGGAATTGTTTCGAGGAAATAAGTGTTTCAGATTTACTTTGTAATTTTGAATACAGATATTTTGACTTTTTACGTATTTTTGCTTTGTCGCGAAGTGAGAACTAAATTAATTGAATGAGAAATACTGAATTGTCTGTGAAAAAGGTGCTTCATTTTTGTTTTGTTTGCTTAATTTCTTTTTATACATCGTTCTAGATATATTAGAGTATCTGAATAGAACATGTGGCAAAGATTAGATAATTCTTCAAATTATATACATTTTGTGCATTCTGAGTTAATTTCGAATAAAAAACGAATTTTTTGCAGGTGTGCCTAGAGATACATCTACTTAAAGATGATGTTAAAAACTTTATAGGGTATAATTCAAAAATTTTTTTAGAAACATTTATAAAAATTATTTTAAAATAAATTATAAAAAATCGGTGAATTTTATTTGGCTAAACTAAATTTCGAATCATGAAAGGAAGAATAAAATATGTCTAATAAAAAAAGAGAGTTTAATAAATATATACAAAATTCAATTAACATTGAGGAGCTAAAATTTTGAGAGCTAATTTTTTAAAAACTACTTGTGCGAGTTTTACAGAACTTGGCAGTTTGGCATAATTTGAGTCTAGAATTGAAATATAGAAACAAATTGGCATGTCATTTTCAGAAAAAGTCCTATTTTGTGTAAAAATATCTATATTAGATTGGATTGGATTATTTAATTATGGCAAAGCACACGAGGGCTATCTGCTTAAAGGGAGGGATGCCTTCGTGGAGGACTTTCTAAGGGAAACTGGCTCGTATACACGTTACACATGGGGAAAACCACGAAAACGCCTATGCAGCCAGCCCGTTCGCGGGATTCGAACCTCGGACCAAACTACCAGTGTTCAGCGTCTTTACCGCTCGGCCGCTCGTGGGCACCTATATTAGAACAATGCTATATATAAATCTAATACATATTGTAAGTCGGGACATGAAAAACGAAATTCGAATTTCTTCAAGCGTACGAGTAGAACGGGGGATATAGAACTGCCCCCCCCTTTTTTTTTCGCAGTGTACATAATGGAAAATTAATTTTTAGTTGTGCTAATAAGTTTAAACAAATCCAACTCAATATTTATTTTTACAATGTTTTTTAAGTGTTTTCATTGTTTAATGTACTTTTTCTTTACGCGGAGGGGGGGGGCTGAAAATTTAGTATATACTGTAAGTTACAGTGGCGGAAACGGTTACAAGTAGTTTTTCCCCCCTCCAAAAATAATTTTATCAGAGAGACATGGTTTCACTAAAGCAAAGCTGAATTATTCTTACACCTAAACACTAAAGAGCCAAAAAACATTCTCCATCTGAAAATTAGCTAACATATCAATTAGTTTCAGCAACAAAAATTTCTACTCCTTTTATCAATTTTTATTTTCTTGAACTGCATTTAGGTCCTTCAGCGCTCGAGGTCTAAAATCATTGAGCACTCATAGTCCCAACCTGGGTTCGAATCCAGACGAGCAGGCTGGCTGCTTCCGAATCCAACTTCAGCAACGAAGTTAATTAAATGAAACTAAATCAACCCATGTGTCCAAATCTTAGGGAAGAATAATGGGCAGGTCAACCCCGATTTATGCCCTAGGAATATTTGTTCACAGTTTTGTGAAAGGTTAAGACAAAAACGAATCCTAATTATTTGTTTTCCGACAACAATAGCGGAGAAAGGTAACGTGGTTAGTGAAGACGTTCAAATCACGAAATACCGATGCCAATGTCTAAAATAATAGTAATCATGACGAAGTATTCAAAAAGGTAACAGCTCCCCTTTTTTTACAGTAGACCTTAACCGGGTCAATCACTAACTGAAGAGGTAGACAGTGAAAGTCACCATTGTGTTTGGGTATCGGTAAATGGTAGAATAAGACTGTGATCTCTTTCGAAAGCAAGTGTTATGGTTTGGCCTAAATAGCAAAATCAAACATAATAGATGGATCGCACATTCTTTGATTTATTAGGATTCAGAAGACGTGAAACCGTTGAAAAAATAACTGGAAAAAGTACCGTATATTCCTTCGTATAACGCACAATTTTAATGCAAAAAATTAGATCGAAATTTACGACTGCGAGTTCTAAGCCGGATATAAAAATGATAGAGAAATAGAGAAAATAGGGAAAAAATGAAATAGGGGAAATAGGGAAAAGATGAGCTTGCAAAAATTAGACATACGCGTACTTCGTACTCACAGTAACAACAAATACTTGCGATAAGGAGGAACTTAAGGATAATTTAACAATAAATCTTTATTACACATGCAAAGAAAAGACGCCGGGACTTAAGTTTTGCTAAAAAACTAAATGTTACATAAATATTTTGGGTATAAGAATTTTTATAACCTCAAAGATTTCGAGTCAAAACTAAACCTGGAGGTACTTAGCCTCACTTGAAAGAAATCATTAAGACGAATTTTAAATTTGTATACCTCAAAAAAGACTCCAATTCCTTTTTACATATATTCTCTTCATGTAACCTATTCACTCTTGAGTTTCTTTATTTATTTTTCTAAATTTATTCAATGCTTCTGCATTTCTATGATGCATTTCTGAAATTGCTAAGCACTTACTAAGCATATTATTTCTCGTCGCCGATAAATTTGTCACTTTCACTTAAAAGTTCTTTTTCAGTTTAGACTTCTATCTTTATATTATTTTTAGCCCAAAGGGGACGTTAGCCCAGAAGGGCTATTAGTCTCGAAGCGGCATTTTGCGTCGAATCAATATAAGCGGCTGTACTATTTTTCAAATTGTTACCACCAGATATTATCGCGAAGTATTATTTTTAAAGGAGTTAAAATAATGAAGAATCTCACTGTGAAGAGACAACAATACCTAGAGCTATCAAATTTTGAATAACATAGACCTGCACCCGAAGATGGGCACTAGGAAGCCCGGATCTTGAATATCCAATTTCTTTTATTATCTATTTCATATTAAAACTTTAACGAATTTTTGTTTAAGAATCTCAACGGTTTCAAAGGGAGCAGTGGCAACAGTGTACGGAATAAAATATTTTTATCTCCAGCGCACAAGAGACTATCTATCGAAAGTTTTAATGGTATGCTGTTTTTAAATATTTTCAGCCCAAACGGACGTTAGCGCAAATATTCTCGAAACATGTATGTATGTGTAAATGAAATAAATGCCTCTTTGAGCAATATAAAATATGAAACTTTCAGATTTTTTTATTGTTTTTTAAATAAAATTAAATTCTCACGGTTAGTTTCAATATACTTGTATAAACTTAAACAAATAGTACAGAGGAAGTTTCTTCATAGTCATTCTTTGAAAAATGGACGATTATTATTATTATTATTATTTACGTGTTTCGCTCTAAAGCACTATACGGAAGGGAGGGATGCTTTCGTGGAGGACTTTCTAAAGGAAATTGGTTCGTATTAATACATTACACATGGGGAAAACCTCGAAAACGCCTATGCAGCCAACCTGATAGCAGGATTCGAACCTCGGACTGAACTAGCAGGGACTTATCGCTCGCCGTTGGTGGGCCATGAAATGAACGATTAATATAGATATTAAGTATACTTATTATGATTAAGTATGAATATTTTGACTTCATACCTGAATATGTAGTGTCAGTATCGGGCTCTTCAGGGCTTCTCGGTCTACTTCTTTGACAAGATACAGATCTGCCATCTGATCATGCATTTCAAACAGTCCTTTTTCATTACCTACAGAGTGAAAATAAATGTAGTTAGGGGGCATCTTTTACAAAATAAGCATGAATAATGATAGGTTAATAACATATAATTTTCTTTTCATACTTTTACGAAATGTACAGGCGCGGTGGGATAGCTTCCCCGCAAAGCAGTTTTAGGGTTGCCATAAAATGGCAAAGGAAAGCAGAGTTGCCACATTTGGCGAGAAATCGCCCATTTGGCGACAAAATTGGCGATATGCCATGGACAGATGGAGAACCTTTTAGAACGAATTCTTACCGGTTTAGCCCAGAATGTTCTCGAAAAAAGCCGAAAGCTATATAAAACCTGCTGGTCCGCAGTCAGTCAGTTAGTATCGAGTGTGTACCTCGTCGAGAGGGCGAGTCAGTGTGTATCATCTAGTTAGTCCGTGCGGAGACGATCGAGTTGACAGCCGGCCGGCGAGTGCCGAGTGGGTCGTCGAATGCATCGAAAGAGTCTCGTAGAGTATCGCGGTTAGTGCATCGTCGAGAAAGCGTGTTGAGCTCCGGGAACGACTGAACCGAAGAGTCGAGAGCTGTGCTGTGTGTTTCGTCAAATGCATCGCAAGCTGTAGCGTGGAGAGTCTCTAGAGTACGTGGAGTTACGAGAACGACCGAGCAGTGTCGGGAGCTGAACTCTGTTGCTTTGTAGTGAAGCTGTCTCCACCGTTATTGCCTGACAGTATGAAGGCTATGTCGCTGATTGTTCCAGCGAGTGTAAAGTAGATCTTCGACGACTGTATAACGTGATTTTGGAGCTGTCCTGATTAATATTTCGTTTTCGCGTTTCGATATTTCATCATTATTCACTTCAAATCCACACGAACCCCGTACGAACGTGAAGGAAGAAAAATAACGTAACAACTGGTGTCAGGAAGAGAAAACGCAACAATACACTTAGTACTATCTTACAAGAATTTCGCGATGCAAGAAGTTAAGATTTGTGCGCAGGAACATCATAAAATACAGGAAAATAATTACTTACCATGCACTATCGAATATTTCAGCGGGGCGTTGACTCCAACATCTTGATCATATGCATGGATCGGGGGGTCCAAAGACAATTTTACTCTAATCCTCGCTCCCTGAAAATAAAATAAAGAATTATAAATAGTGGAAGAAAACTAAAGCAAAGACAAAAAGAAGTTTCTGTTAACAATATCCTTCGACGAGCATATCAGTCATACATTTAAACAATTGGAATCGGGGATCATCAATCTTTTGCGTCCCCTGCACTTGTTTCCCTTCTCATTATCAACAGAACAGTTAATCAAAGGGGGAAACACACTGTCGTGAATGGGTGTGTGCGATCTTTTGTCTCTGTTCGTTCGTGCCAAAGATTTTTTAAAAAAAATCTATTCAAATTTCTTTTTTTAAACGAATAATCGAAGGTGGTTAACTATTAAAAAATTGTGATCGATAAATGAATTTTTTTTTTCTGAGGAAGATCATATAAAGGAAAATTTAAACAAAAAAATTCGGCGTTAGAGTTTATGATATAAATGAGATTAAAGCTTTCCTAGACATAGTGAAAGACGTGATGATATTTTTGTTGCTGTCACTGAAATGCTTCAGAAATTTAATTAATACGTTAAACTAATTCAAGTTAGGTGTTAAAATGTTAATAGGGTGTAAAGAAATCAAGCAAGGCCAAATCAATTTTGAAAACGTATTCGAGTGAAATATTTTCAATATATCTCTTGAAATAACCATCATTCGCATCTAAGCAGCGATTTTAGCATTTGCATATTAATAATTAGGTTTTCTGGAGAAATAAAATGTGAAGAACGGTAAACTTGAAACGAAGGTGAGCATAAAAAATGGGAAATGAGCCAAAAAAAAAGTGAGGTGTAAAACGTAAAACGAAGAAAATGTCAAATGTGAAAACGATTCCTGGAAAAACAAACGTTCAAACAATGGTTCTTTCTACGGCTAAACAAATCTAATACCAATTACGACAGCAAATACGGACTAATGCTAGAATTCTGTATATCCCTCCTCACTTAACCCTCTGCGGCACAGTGTGTCCGGTCTGGACACGTCTAAAAATTTCCTTCTGTAGGCACAGAAAAATTGAATGAAAAAGGATTTATAGGTTACTCTGAACCTTCTTTATTTATAGTAGACGGCAGCTCAACACAAACCAGTCCATATATTTTAGCCATGTTTAGTTTTTTTAAGACCCTCATTTTTTCAAAGAAATCTTCCAGATTTTTTTAGGATATAAAAGGAATTGTTTGAAAAGAAATTGCTATGTTATTTTTTTTGGCTGTATGCTAATCTCCTTATTCTATATTAGTTTTAAATTATTACCTTGAAATCTTGCCTAAAATTAAACGGCGAAGACTAGGTGTGCCCAGACCGGGTTCACCGATAATCTAGGACAATTGAGAGTCTGTATTCTTTGTTTCTCCGCATCTCATCGGTCATTTCCTTGACAACAATGCTCGTTTCAGCACTCTTTTCGAAGCTCTATTCAATCAGTGTGCCCACTTTGGGCACACCCACAGAATGAAAACGATAAGTGCTATCTTCACAAAATTTTACTTGTGTACTCCTCTAGGCCTAATTGACTGCCTACCTTTTTTTTTTATCAAAACTTCGACTTTAAAAGGTAGCGTGCCGGAAAGGGTTAAAGTGAGATTTTAGACAAGCAAGAGAGACCAAATCTATGTGGGTGACAGTTATCGTTCACCACAGTTTTAGTTCGATCGCCACTGTAGAGGCTTAATGTTTTAGGTGCAGAAAACGTGAAAGATAAATTGTACCTTCTCCAGGATTCGAAATCACGGATCTTCTAGTTGCCAGCTCGACGTACTAACAATCACACTCCGACATCACGTACGAGGGATTGTGATAATTACGTATACATTTAACTTTATAAATGACATGCTGAATGGAAACTTTGTAAATAAATATGAATATCAACTTGTGCAATTCAGCTTGAATAGCATGTACGGTCATCCCAGTTAACGAAAGCTCAATTTTTGAGTACATCATATCACGAGTGGCCAGCCTCATTATGATGACCTTAAATTTTTAAAACCAAAGTGGACAAGGAAAGTTAAGCATGTAATTTTGATAAATATTTTCAATATGATGGGAGTCGAGCAGCGAGAATTCACTTCTCCCAAATTAGACAATAAATGCTTTTCAGTGTAATATTTTGAGAGAATGTTTGTCGTAAGATACAGCAGCAGGTCCACGAGGAGATTCCAGCACGAAGGACATGCTTTAAGCAAAACACGTTTTATTATGTTTAGTACAGCAGAAATCAACAAATAAGAACAAAAACAAACAACGATCGTCATTAAAGAAGGTGTTCTAAATTATGACCCCGGAACCGTGATGCAGGTCTTACTTCTCCGACGCATCGAAGATCACATGGAAGATGCATGACGCACAGTTCCTGCATCACGGTCGGGTCGTAATTTCGAGCACCTTCTTTGATGACGATCGTTTTCTCTTTATGTTGTTTTTTCTTTGTATTTGTTGTATTCGGAAACATGTTTTCTTAACCCTTTCGTGTAAATTTTTTCTTGACTTTTGTGTCGTCGCTATCCGCGTTTCCGACCATGCATGGCTATGTCATTGTCCATCGTCTAGGTATACTCTGTCTCTCCTGAAAGTTTGTCACCGCTGTACTGATACACCCTGTATATGGCAACAAGTGCAGACTGAGTAAAATTGCTAAACGTGGCTGGCATATTTTTCCAAAAATACGTTATCAATGGAAGGATGAGAACTCCCAGCAATAGCGCACCATAACAATTCTTGAAGACGTAACTTTTCTCATGGAAACGGGACTTGGAGAGATTTCTTACCATTTCTACCTACCGTATTTTACTTCCACTAACATGTTTGCTTGACAAACTGAAGTGAGATTTGAAAAGACGCTGTTTTGCTTCCATGTATTACATACAGGTTTAGTCACAGATCAGCACTCGTTTTGATTAAAAGACGTCCACCCATAACATTAAATGCTGAAAATTTTATCTAAATGCAGAATGGGACTGCTTTGGAAGGCATGGAGAATAAATTATATAAATTTTGTTCGATTTCTTTTCCAGCCCGTAGTTTTAATTATACTGATATGATTTAGAATTACATTTCCTGATAAATGCATTAGAAAATTTTGAAAATTTAAAGTGGAAATCTTGGTTTATAAGTGAAAAAATAAAATTTAATTATTTTTATTGAGAAATATTCAATATTAAGTCATTTTTATCAGAAATTTATAGTGTTAACATCAAGAAGAATTTTAGAAGAGTTCAATGACGTAAATAGTTTTTGAGTTGTATTAATGAATCGAAAATAATAATACTTCGGTATATTTTATACGTTACTCATACCTAGTGTAAATATTGATATGCAATCACTTGAAAACGCAATACGTACGTTTTAATTTTCGAATAAAATCATTTTGAAATATGATTTTAAATAAAGTTTGCTGTTTAAAAGAAAAGAATAATACTTTCTTTTAGGGGAAGGGGAATTAAAATCATAAAATTATTTAAAATAGTACATTAAGTACTAAAATCTAAAAAAGGAGGGATAGTTTAGAGGGAAAATTCACTTTAAGCTAAAAGATAAAAGACTGAAACCGAAATAAAATAATTAATGCATTCTGAATTAATGAGCTTAATAGAGGTTCTTAGGACCTAAATATTTGGCAAACGGTCAAAAACTGCTCAAAGCTACAAGAAATTTTATTTGTATATAAGAAATAAATTGAAAAATAAAAAACAATTACCGTTATAGCAGCAGCTTCCAAGACGTGAGTTTTATAGACTTCTTTGGTAAAAACAGGATTTTGGTCATCAGAATCTTTCAGTCGAATGGTCATAGTTGTGACGGAACTTCTGCTTTCTGGACTACCATGATCCTGAAAGGAAAAAGAAAGCAAATTTATATATATATTACCAATGGTTAGAGAGAGGGAAAAAAATGCGGTCACAAAAATATAAGTCTCAGTCCTTATTTTTTTCCTAGAAAAATGAGACTTTAATAAAGAATAATATATTTCCTTTGTTTATTCGCCCACCAGCGGGCGAGCGGTAAAGTCGCTGAACACTGGTAGTTCGATTCGAGGTTCGAATCCCGCGAACGGGCTGGCTGCATGGACGTTTTCAGGGTTATCCCCAGGTGTAACGTGTATACGAGCCAGTTTCCCTTAGAAAGTCCTCCACGAAGACATCCCTCCTTAGGCAGATAGCCCTCGAGGCTTTGCCAAAATTGCACACACACGCCTTTGTTTATTCTTAAATTTTATGCCACAGAAGTAACGTAGATCTTATGAATATTTTTCAACAAAGTGCTGTAACAAGCCTTGATTTGTCAGAAATATTCCAGTATTTGGACAATATATATTCTAAACTGAAGGCTTAGAGACGGTAATGATTTTTATAAAACCAGGTACAGCTTTCCCTTGTCTAATATCGTAAAAAAGACTTAGACAATGTATTAAAACTAGGCTTAGTACATAGGATGAGTTTTTGAATACTTCTGGAATCACTGTTTTACTGTGTTATTCCGGTATCATGTTATTTTTACATGCTGATTTAAGCAGGTAGAAGCTAGGCCAGCTAGGCTGCTGTAGTTACCAATCTCACTTGTTTGATAATGGTTTGTTAAATGAGTCTGTCGTTTGGAAGAGCCCTCAACCTATTGTATCGTATTGCCTATGTATATATACAAGTAGGTGATAGCCCGATATCAGCTAAGTTTCGCCGCCAATTTTGAGAGAGAACACTTTGGAGGGATGCGTCTGAGGGTCTCCCATCGCTGTTTTCCTACCGCCAACCTCTTGAGAGGGCTTGCTCGCCGCATATTTAGAGTGCTCCCATGCTGCACAGACATTATACATTTACTAACATCCATGCCATCTCCAGCATTCAAACGTACGGCAATCAGAGTCACTAACTACTATCCCGGTTGGGGGGGCCTCCATCGTAGTACCACGGGAGATAGAGGTATTGCTGAACCTAGCTTCCGCCCTAGTTTGAAAGGAGAACACGTGAAACTCTTCAAGGAATGGCTACCGACCCTTATTGACTTGAAAAAAAGACTTACAGTATTATTGTCATCCCTGCAGCAATCTTCTACTATCCGCTGCTCCTCACCGTAGGATAAAACGGTGGTTTCTTCCGACCGCACCGGTGGTTACTTAAAATTAGGCAAAGCAGCAACTTTGTGTTTGGTGTAGATTTTAAGTAAAACTCTATCAATTTCGAAAGCGGATATGTATAGGTCCAACTTCGTTAGGATCTGTATTTATTCATACTCCAATTAGGTAACGTTTCAATTAAAATCTACGCTGAACACAAAATTGCTATTTTGCCTACTTTTAAGTTTTGTTTTAGCGCGCTTCTCTTCTCTGTTGGTGGTTGAGTTTTTATAGCTTTTATTTACTTGAAAAGTGTACAACAGATAAACTTTGGGTTTGATCTTATTCCTGTTGCATTCATTAGTAATCTAGACCAGGGGTTCTCAACCAGGCAGAAATTCCCCCGTAGTGTGTGTGGGGGGAATTTTATAGTTTCAGGGGGGAATGCAGTCAGCCTGACTCTGCTTGCTTCCTGCTGTGCCTTTAAAAATAATCTAAATCTAGAATAAATGTATGTATAGGAGGGAATGATGTTCTAGGAATGGTGAAAGGGGTGCATGGGGCAAAAGGGTTGAAAACCACTGGTCTAAACTTGAAATGCAAGGACATCTGTAGCACAAGAAGTTAAATTTGTACATTGTTTTACCCATCAAATTAGGCTTTACTTTACACCGTTTTCCCGCGATACTACATGAAAAATTACTGAGTTTTATATCAAATTCTCACGCGAGAAATAAAAATTTATTATTATATGAAACATTCGTTCTCCGCAAATAAAATTTCAGTGATAATAATACCAACCTTCTAAAAGAACTCTCCATGTTACTGCATCGGCACAAAGTTAGGATTTCGGCAGTCATAACTTAAATTGAAATATCCCGTGGATTAATTATGGATTTTGTGACTACATCTCTTGTTGTTGATTAATGCTCACTTGTCTGACCTATCGTCAGCCCAAGCCCACGAAATTCCTCCTGGCAGCGCAACATACGCCTGTCGTTGGCCTTGAACACCTTACAGGTGACAGCTCAGTTTCGCCCCCAATTTTGATGGAAAGCACGCTGGAGGGACGAATCCAAGGGTACCACCCCTCTTCTCGTATCCTCAACCTCTCGACAGTACTTTCGGCTCACGGCATATTTAGAGTTCCCCCATGCCGCACGGACACTATACCTAGATAACAACATCCATGCTTCTCCGGGATTCGAACCTGGGAATTTTGACACGGCAATCAGCGACGCTAACCACTGTACCGGTTGGACGGCGTGACTGCATCTGTGCGGTGACTTATCCCCGAGTTGTCTCTGTTTCTTGCTGGTATTTCAACATCATGTCGTATGATCTCACCTTTACGTAGCTCATGTTTCGCCTTTTTTAGGTTTACTAAAAATTCGCCACTGTTTGAAATATTCCCAGTTTATGAACTGTCTCCGGAAAATTGAGAAGTTTAAATTGCTTGATGATCTTTGCCCTAACCCACGCATTGCCTATGTATATACATGTGTTACGGTAAAACACCGAAATCTGGAGAATGTCAACTTTCACCGGTGAATGTCAACGTTCACATAGTCTCTTGGTGTATGTCCGAAATATTTTCCAAATACTTTGACTTACACCTGTCAATATTTCTGACTTACACCGGTCAATGTCGACATTCACCATGTACTAATGGTGAATGTTGAACATATAACAATATTATATTTTCTTCTCCGTTATTCAGTCGCGAATAAACGCACTTGAAACTTCAAATAAGAACTTAAGAACATGAGAACCTAAAACACACAATACATTCAAAATGAGAAAGGAAAATGATAGAAGTTAAAAACTTACTTAATTATACAGTACGTTTCTCAATGAGAAAATAAAATAACAGTCATAAAAAACTTACTAAATTATGTGATTCAAATCTTATTTTATTGCAACAACTTAAACTATTATGGCACTTTATGACCTCTCTTTTCGACTTTCACCAGAGCATATCTGTGATTGTCGACATACACCGGTGAGGGTCCGAAAGAATGTAGAAATATTCGGTCTTTCACCGACGTATTTGGTGAATGTTGATATTCTCTGGTGAAAGTCGACATTCTTCAATTTCGGATAAAAGTTTCACGTTTATAGCTTAACGGGATTGCAATTATAATAGACTTAATGTTTACTAGACCAATTATAATTCATGTATAATTTCGACACAAGTGTAGACTGAAATTAAGAAGAAAAGGTATCATTTAAATTTGTTTCCCAATACGTCTGACATTGACCATGGAATATTACTTCCTAAGTATGCAACTTCTAACCTTGTTCACTAATATAAGATACGCAGTATGTAACGGTTTCCTTATATACGCTATCAATCATCCCGATTTGCATTCACTGGAGAATATCATTAACGGTGATACTAATTTGTTTAAGTATCATTACGTGCAGGCCTTTTTTTTTACCGTTAATGAACAAGAGATAGCGATCTGATATTCTTAAAATATTGATTTCCGTTAGAGGCTCGATGAGAAAATATTATATCATATAAACCCTAAGGGTTTCATTTGCATATATATAGAGACCTCCTTGGCCTTGCCCTTGGAACTCCATTACAGCATTAATTATAGTAATAATAGGGCAGAAGAGAATTTTAAATCAAATAAATGTTCATTTTCTGTCCTTGTGTGTGGAAGTGTCTGCCCTTGTTTATGACCTTGTATGCATATTTATGTCACATACAGCCTTCGTTGACAAAATCTGCGCACCTAAGTCATGCTTGGTGACGAATTTCATAATTATAGTGTTCTTAGTGAAATATTACGTATAAAAGTAGCAGAACTCTAGCCAACTACTTCGGAATATAATGTTTTTGTAACCGAAAAGGCAATGTTCACTATACAGAAGAAATAGAGTGAACTTATAAGGTACTTCTCGCACTTTCCAAGCGTCCTTCGTGGTGTAGTGGTTCTGCACACTGGGCCGGTATTCCAGAGGTCCGTGGTTCGACTCCCGGCGAAGGCGGTTGCATATTTTTCATCTTTCCTGCTTCCAGTTAACCTAATGACTCTACAAGTGGCGCCCGAACTAAAAGGGTCGTGGATGATGATTCTCCCCACCCAGGATTTGGAGACTAGGTCCCCTAAAACCCTAGTCGCCCTTTAAAAAGGTGAGTATATAAGATATTTCTCCCACTTCCCTAGCGTGCCTTTGTGATGTAACGGTAGCACGCTGGGCCGGTATTCCAGATGCCCGTGGTTCGATTCCCGGCAAAGCGGTTGCTAATTTTTCATCTCTCCGGCCTCCAAAAAAATACCTAATGACTCTACAAACTCGGAAATGTTACTAAAAATGTCAATTATAATTTCTTTTATGAATAATTCACCTAGTATTGGCGTCCATAAGCGATGTGAAGAAGATACTCGTACATAATGTGTCATGATAGATCCAGTATAAGACATATCATGCCAGATGTTCAAACCATTCAAGTTTTATTAGCACTAAGGGGCGTCAGACCCAAAGCGCTGTTAGTCTCAAAGCGGCATTTTGCGTCGTTTCAATTTCTGCGTTAATTCACTGTTCAAACTGTTGCCACTAAATACTATCGTCATGTATTCTATTTAAAGAAACTAAATAATGAAGAATCTGCATGAATGCAGAAATGTTTCTCCCATTGTGAAACAACAACGGCCCCTAGAGCCATCCAGTTTTGAATAATGTAGTCCTCCAACCGAACATAGGCCCATTTGAAGAAACATTTTACTTTAAAACCATGCATAATTAATTGGGGAAACTATACTCAC